CCCCAAAACCCCAAAACCCCAAAACCCCAAAACCCCAAAACCCCAAAACCCCTATGCAGGTGAGAATAATAGAATATCTAATTACTATTCTCACAAAATTTCTGCTAGGATAGCTTAACAGGTTTTGATATCAGGACTTCCTTTAGGTTCTGACAAATTAATATTCAAATCCCCATAGCTCCATGTGTTTTCACTGGAAGTGTTCTTCAGAAGCAAGAACCTCATTATCGAATGTCTTACAACTGTGGCTCATTCCATTCAAGAAGTTATTTCTCAAATGCAAGGCGAACTTGCCGTCAGCACCACCCACACCGATTGATGACTCGTCACTGTATTGAATGTGGTCATTAGCTGAAGTCCACTTGAAGAACTTCACGTCTTCTTCGCTGTTGTTAAAAGTAAACAGGAAACTTTCGCCTGTGCCGTAGAAATGTTTGTGCACACTCCATTCTTCTCAGAGGTAGGCTCCGAATTTGTGTCCTTTAATGTCTTCAACAAAGAGCAAGTTATTGTAGTATCCTTTTGCATTCTTGTAGAAAGTCTGCAGACTGATACCATCTTCGTCAATTGAGAATACTTTGATCCACTCCCGCATTCTAAAAAGTGGAGGAAGCAGCCTAGCAATCACCATTATCTGGGTATCTGTCATGATAGTTGACTCTCCGTTGCATATTGGCATGAACCTAGGGTGGCTCTCACATTTAGGCATCGTGACTGGCCTTTTCTCTGGCTCTTTTTGCTTCTTGAATTCTTCGTCTTTGAAGTCTCCTACTTGATTGGACTCAGTGAGCTCTTCAGTATTCACTAACTCGAATTCGTCATCTTTGAGCTCAGTTTTTACTTTTTTGATAACATCATAGTAAGGAATGTAGGTGGTTGATGAATAATTTTCGTATTTGCTCTTAGGTCGTATTTCTGCACTGTCTTTACTTTCTTCGCTCTGGGTAGATTGCATCATATTTGAAAAGTCAAGTTCTTTGGTTTCTTCAATTTCATCGAGGCCATCTTGAACCAGTTTCATCCTGCTCTCTACGTCTTTCTTGATTAGCTCAATAATGGTGCTTTGCTCTTTGTTCTTAAGAGCTACCCCATCTTTGTCTCTGTGGGAGAACCTGAAGAAAACAGTGGCTACTGGACGCCTCCTTCTCTTCCTTTTCTTAAAATCTGGACTCAGGTTACCGAGCATTTTAGAAAGAGTCTTGGCGTTCACAACTGATACTGAAAACTGAAGATAGTAGTCATACAGGTATCACTTTCTGTTTTCGTCGTCTTCAATGTACATCGAGGTCTCATTCGGAAGCTTTATCACGTCGACGCTGACGATATCCTTGAAGTCGATGCAAGCCTGGAACTTGCTGCCCAGAACTTCCTTGTCGAACTTGTCGTTTTCTTCGCAATACAGTGGGTCGTACATGATGTAGGTGTCTCCGACGGTAAGGACGCCTTTGATGCGTCCATGCTTGGTGCAGTAGTACGCTTCTGACTTGATGGTCTGGTTCTTAATCTGCTCCAAATTTTCGATGCCTTTGTCTAACTCTCCTTTGCTGGCGTGCTCGTAGAAGTCCAAGAAACTCTGGCTGGACTTTTCTTTCACCTTGTCTGTCTGGACTGACTGGAGCGACTGGATGACTCTTTTCGACTCCGACATGACATGCTGGAATATCTTGTCGATATCTGAAATTCCACCTTCTTTGAGGGTGGCCTTCATTCTGGCACGGAGGCTTATATTATCTTGCTCGACGACTTCAGACAGATTATTGTCAGAGGCTTTCCTTCTGACAGCTTTGTGCTTGCTTTCTTCAAATTCTGTTTTGGCTTTATTTATCGTTGCAACTGAGTTGGACCGTTTTCTGTGGAGTTCGAGGTCACCGAGGTCTGGCATATCAGGATCTCCATCTTGTGGTTCTACCACAGGTGGGGGCTGGTCCTTTAATATTAGTTTCTGGCCTGGATAAAGGAACTCATCACTGCCAAGGCCATTGAGTTTATTTAATCTTGGCTATACTGACGCCAGACCTGTATGCAATGGCCATTAGGCTATCTCCATCCTTAATTATATACTCATTACCTTCCATGATACTAACGAAATTTTTTATTAAAATTAGATTGTTTCGGGGTTTTGGGGTTTTGGGGTTTTGGGGTTTTGGGG